AATATTGTATTTCTTTTGCAGCAACGAAATACTAATCGCATTTTCATATCAACTCCTGTCGTTTTTTTCTTCTTTAAATCACTTAAATAACCATACGGAGCAAATTCAGTCGTCATACAAATCTATTTATATATAAATACTGCCCCATAGAAATGAACGATATTATCACAACTGAATTTGTCTAACATCAACACTTTATTATCAAACTCATTATTTGTTTCAGACGTTTCATTCCCTTGCTTTATCATCTTAATTACTACAACATGGTTTCTCCAAGTCACAAAGAAAACTATTCCAAAATCAAGTTCACTTATTTGTTTTTTAAAATTTAACTTATTTGAATCAAGGTGGGCTGACAGAAGTGTTTCTGTTTAAATAGAAATTGTGTTGGATGGTTTTTCCCGCTTTTAACATCTTGTACAACTTAAGTTTTATTTCCTTTCATTGTAAAAATGCTATTTAAAGTTGTGTTCACTTGAAACTCATCGTTTATGACTTCTTTTTTGGTGAAAAATAGCAGATAAAATTCGGAGAAAGTATTTTTATTAGATTCTTTAAAATTAAATTGCATTTTCAAGTATTTCTTTGTTTTCGACATTATTTTATAGAAAAGTTTATTGACAAAATAGAATCTTTTTTGTTGTGATTAAAATAGACTTCGGTCAAATTAAATACAATCTCATTTTTAATATATTAAAAAACAAGATATTGAACTTTTGGAATAACCATTTTGAAATACTTTTAATATTGGTTAGTGAGTTACATGAAAGAGTTACTAAAATATAAACATTATACATTAAGTGCGTTCTTAATTTTTAAACTTTGTACAAATAGAGTAAAACGGTTTGCACTGATTGTTTTTTTCAATTTAAAACCCCAAAGCACACTAAAAACACCCACTATTGGAAACTTCAACTCAAAAACCTCTGAGAGAAGACATCATATGACATTTATTGTCACTATATAACTAATAAGTTGAGCTGAAAATCAAACATTTTACTGTGTTGTTCCACGTGAAACACGTTTCAAAGCAGTTATGCAAACCAACTCGCTTCAGCAATACTCATCTTCACATTTATAACATAGATTACCCGTTAAAAATGATGTTTTACCATTTCCTTGAATAATGGAGTTTGATTTACATGGGTTTTTGAATATATAAGTACCTGAAAAACAAATATATAATTGAGTCATAATGAACGTTTTTTTCTAAGATAATATTTACACACAATATTTTTTTGCTTTGGATTACACATTCAATTACTAAAATGTAAATTTTAATTATTATGCACAGTACATTTTTATTTGTTAATATTTTTAAATCTCAGTATATCAAACTTGATTTAAATCATATAATTTATACATAGATTATAATTTAAAAATAGTATGGTTAACTTAAAAGCGGTATTTCCCCGTCGCGATTCAAAACACTGCTAATTTATCGTATTTGCAATAAAAATATGGTAATACAAACGTTTCTGAATGGGGCAGCAAATGTTTTGAAGTGTCTGAACTTAACTAGTCAAACATGTTAAAACATATATAACAATACTTAACACTTGTTGTGGTTTTATTTTTCAAGATAAAATTGTATCATAAAACGATAGAATTAATGATAATTTAAATATTACAAATAGCGTAATTAATGGTAACCACCAGAAAAACCAGGGACCAGACTAATTTTAGCTATTGAATATTAAGCGGATTTTATACAATAAAACGGGTAAATATATAAAAATGTGTAATTTTCTTATTATTTGGTCTTAAAAACGGTTATTTTTCGGGATGAAAAATGAATCTGTTGTATAAAGTATAAATAAAACGACTGTATTGTATAAAAATGATAAAGTGCTGTCTTTTTTAAAAATCATTTTACCATTTCAATTAAGTTGAAAATTGTAATTTAAGTTAATAACTTTAAAAGATGAAGATTTTGGCAATTGATTTGAATTTAATTAAAATAAAATCTTAAAAAATAATAAACATTTCAAAAAACAATAAAATTTTTTATTGATTTTGTTTTTAATAAATAACAACCAGAGATGCCAAACCGGGATGAAATTAATTGATTTAAATAGAACAGTTTTTGGCAAAGAAAAATAAATAATAAGCCTGATAATATATAAATTTATCTTTTTCTGCATTGTTGAATAACAATTACCAATAAATATTTTGTTTTTTCTTCTGTTTTTTTTTCGGCTGTTAATTTTTAATTTTTATTTAATAATACAGTTAGTTTCACAATAATTACTTATTTTTCATAACAAATAGATTTTTGTTTCAAAACAATTAGATTTGAACATTTGTTCAGCCCTTTTTCAAAATAATTATTTTTTGTTGCACAATTTGCGTGATTGTTTCATAATTGGCAGTATTATTGCATAATAATATCGTATGTTTCATAACTATTTATTTATCCTCAAATCAATATTATTTTGTTCCAAAACAAAGAGTTGTTTCATAATTATTGTATTTTGTTTTAAAATAATTTAGTATTATTGTATAATTGCTTTGTATTGTTTCAAAACAAAAATAAACAAAAATAACCAAAATAAATTCAAATAATCATAAACTAAAAACTATAAAATAAAGTAATGGCAATAGCTTCTTTTGAGTTCATCCACCGATATGAAGTCGATGGATTCCTCAACCACGAAGAGGTTTTCCCAGTTGCAGAAGCACCACAACCACTCGAAATAGCAGAAAGAAGATTAGCTGAAGATATTGTCACCTCGTTAGTCCCACTCGCGCCTT